AATAACAAACTTATTAAAGGATTTGAAGGGTAAAGGCTATTTATCACCAAAAACTTTCGAAAACATAAAACCTACAGGGAGTACCATCTCACGTATGTATGGTTTACCGAAAGTGCATAAATCAGGAGTGCCCCTACGCCCCATACTAGACATGTCCCATTCACCCTATCACGAGACGGCAAAGTGGCTGGTACAGCTGCTTCAACCCTTGCATGACGAGTTAGTAAAGCACAGCGTCAAGGATACCTTTCAATTTGTTGATAAGATAAAAAACCTGAACGCGACTGGCAAATATATGGCATCACTTGATGTTTCATCTCTATTTACGAATGTGCCTCTAGTGGAAACAATCGATTATATCTGTGAACAGATTATAGAAAAGAAATTGTGCACTGATATTCCTATCAGTAATCTGAAACAACTACTTGTTAAATGCACAACGAATGTTCAGTTCCTATTTAATAATGAAATATACAGACAGGTTGATGGAGTAGCCATGGGATCCCCACTGGGACCTATTTTCGCGAATATATTTCTAGCAAAACTAGAAAATAGTCCGTTGAAAGAGGAAATAGCGAAAATGGAAATGTATTGTCGTTACATGGATGACACTTTTGTAGTGTACGATGAAGGGTTAAATAGTGATTTGATTTTGAACAACTTCAATAATGCTCACCCAGCGGTCCATTTCACCTACGAAGGAGAATACAACGACTCTTTACACTTCCTCGACGTCCTACTAACGAGAAGAGAGGATGGTTCCATCAAAAGAACCATATTTAGAAAGCTAGAGACCAAAGCCCAGTATACACATTTCCTTAGCTTCGTACCGATGAAATACAAACGTAATCTAATCAGGTGCTTAGCATTTAGAGCGAGGTCTATTTGTTCTGAAGAGTGCGTAGAGAAAGAACTCCAGATCATCCGAGACATTCTAAGCGAGAACGGATATCCAGAGAAGTTCATTAAAGCCAACATAGGTTATAATAGCCGTAAACATGAACTGACAACTGTGGAGAAAAAGCCTCTGTTTTTACGTCTCCAATTCAAGGGAGATACTCCTGCGGAGATTCTATCCCAACGTTTAACCAGGGCGATCAAGAAAACTTTCTATTCTGCACGTCTGTGTCTATCCTTCACTAGCCGTCCAATGTTCACCCAGCAACTCAAAGATGCCTTACCTAACCTTAGCTCTTCTTCATGCATATACCATTTCAACTGTTCCTGTGGTTCAAGTTATATAGGGCGCACGATTAGGCAGGTTCGTCTACGGGTTCGAGAACACTTACCAGCTTGGTTCAGCAGGGGGGAAATTAAGTGCATAAAAAGCTCGATCCTGTCACACCTGGTCGATACTGGACATCGCATCGATGTCAACACAGCTTTCAGAGTTATATACCGAATTCCGAAGTCGTTATCACGTACAGTTCGCTTACGTCTCCTACACATAGCTGAAGCTGTTGCAATAAGATCGACTAAACCGGAACTGTGTATCCAAAAGGAACACGTCCAGACGCTGTTCCTACCGTGGCCAACCTTGGATTGAAGATTTTTCTTCTCACCAAGAGTGCTTCTTCCCCTTAACCCTTTTGGTTTTTTTTTTCTTTTTAATTTGCTTATTATTATAAATATTATTATTACAGTTATTATTATTCGTCATAATTTATGCCCTTTATGCAAACATTCCCTCAATACTATCGAATTTTCATTTGTACGGACTTATTATTAGTGATATTATCTGTTTTCTCAATATATGCCTCCACCTGTTTCATTTAATATATTCGTTATCTCACTATGAACCTCTCATTCCAGTCTTACTATATCCTGCTTAACTCAGACCACTTTGTACTAGCCACTCACCTGACACCTTTTATAACCTTGAACTGATTTGTCAATTTTCCTACCCCACACTCTACAATTCCATTATGATTAATCACCACTATTGTCTCCCGTTTTACAATATTTCTAATCGATTTCAGCCTAGCACGTTTGTCACACAAATATGACTATTTATTTTGACACCCCATAACTAATCTGTTATTCTACGTTAAAAAATGTATCCGCCGCATACCTGGCTATCTTTATTGTAACGACCACAAATATTATATTTTATAATTGTAAGAACCTGAAGAGAAATTATTGAAAAGAATATTCTTCGTTCAGATTGACTTTTAATTTATATTATTAACTTAACGAAATCAGATTGTGACAGAAATAAACGCCAATTCTGTTCATAGTAAACTTTTACACTTTTCTTTAGCTATGCGCTCGATAATAAATCGAATGACTTTTCAGATCAAGGTGATCATGTATTGAGAGAGAACACACGACGATAGGAAGGGGACAAGTATTCACACCCATGTCGACTATTACACAATAGTAGTAGTAGTAGTAGTAATGTATTGATTTGAGTGTAGCTCTCCATATCAACTCCCTCTTCCGGAATGTGATGCACTCAATGTGGAAGCCCATATTCTGTTTCCTGCGCCTGGGTGATCGAAGTCACGATGGTGGTTGTTTGCTGCCATTAGCCTTCAAGGCATTTTTCGCCTTGAATTATTAATGCATCTAGTGTATATGTAGTAGGATACCACTGAGTGTTGTCTTTTTATAGGAGGAATCTTCCATCGTAGTTGGTTGTCGTATATAGCCTCCGGATTATACTAAAGTGTATCGTGCTGGAGGTGTGTCAGTCCTTGTTGCTCAGTAGGGATGTTATTCAGTGTCATGGTCGGGTCTTTCCAGTGATCACTTAGGAACGTCATTCTGATTTTACCAATATAAGGGAAGATAGACTACAAATGAGTATCATTGAAGTTAATTGATCGTCTGTCAAATAATTCAACTCAAATTGTCAGATGTGTGGTAAATGATATGAACATGCGTGGGAAATTCATTCTTCTCTATTCTGGCTTAAAACGGAGATATCAGGAGTTAAAGAGCGGGAAGTCATCACAAGGGTGTTGTCTGAATATCTGCAGTGTGGCGTCAAAGCTGTGATCTAGTGTGGTTTAAGGCGGAAATACATTAAAATATTGGTCAACTCCAGATGGACCCGGTTTTGGAGGTAGGTGACACACTTTCCAGAAATCATCTTCACCATCAAAATCTATTTTTAAATTCTTTTCATATCGTCTCAACCAAGTCGCAGACTTAAAACTGGCATCAAGATCACAGTGGAATTTATTAAACATTCTATCTACTGAAGGAATTATTACATCCGAAGTAGCCTGGAATGATTCGAGACTAGAAATTTCTAAGCACATACGTAACTGCATGATTCGCATGTGTTGTTCATGGAAAGTGTCCGGGTTGGAGGTATTCAACATAACTGTCTCCATTTTAATATTTTCCTTCATTCACCTGCTTCACATTAAATTGAGCGACCTGTAAGGCTACGGTGATCACGGATCGAGAGAGAGAGAGAACACATGACAAGAGAGAAAATATGTATTCAGAAGCATGCCAACTGGTTAATAATAAAAGCAACCTAACATTAATGGTTGGATCCAAAGAAGGATAGTCCCAATCGACAGACTGATTATAGATCTCCATATCATGAAGAGTTGTTGATTTCCAAAATATGAACAGCCAAATAACAGGGTTTCATGAAGACAACATCCATGCGGTGGACAAACATAATAATACGCAACGTTTTAGGGTACATATATATATGTATATTAGACTGATTGGAAACTGCTTAAACAAGTAAAAATTTGAGCGAACTCAATTCAGAATGCCCTTCCTCAGTATAACTAATTTATACACGAAATCTTTAAATTATTTCAAGCGTATAATTAGTTTCCCATGACATTTTTCTTCAATTATTGATAAACGTTACTTTACGTATCACTTATGTGAAAATGTGTAAATTCCAAAGAAGATGGAAGATGTATACGACAACATAAACTGAATATGTTGGCCAGGAATAACTATGGGCTGTTCAATTCATTCATTCAAAATGAAGCTGAGTTACATCAACGAGATGATGTCTCCACCAGTCAATGGTTATTAGAAATACCAGGAAAATATTAACTGCAGTCGCATTATGAAGGATATTCAAAATCAACGTCAAATTAGTTCTGTTGGAACAGACCTCGTTTCATTCATTTTGTAGACGAACTAATCAATTTTTTGCTTATTCACTGATTTCAAACTGTCATTACTAATAGTGTTTACTATAAGTAGCTGAACTGTTATTCATGTGAACTATCTGAAATTCCATTGATACAACTGAGCATTTGAAATACGTTATTTAAAATGTCTCAAGTAAAATTATAACGTCTGCAGTCCTTCTACTATCGTTTAACATTGACAGTGGATCGAAGGGGCGTTCTTAGTTCCTCCAATCTCTATTAAATAAATTTTTGGATAAGGTTTCTGAGATGACCACACGTGGTGTGTAGTACATATGAAAGGTTTGATTGTGCGTGATATTTACTTGTTTGTGTTTGTGGAATCATTCACGTCACCCGAAATGAAGTCTTGTAGTTTCCGATCACTTCCCTTAGGTAAGGTGTTTGCTTCATAGTATTAATGTACGAGTGATATTAGAAGTAACATAAGAGCCTGCATTTCAAATTACTGTTTGTTGGTAATGACTGGATGAAGGTGAGACACTGGTCTATCCACATTGCTGTTCAAGTGCTAGGTTTTGTGTGCCATCAAACATTTCTTAATAGCAGCTTGACTAATCCAGGTCCCAACTGACTCTTCTGAAGCGCAAATTCACCACAAAAGCTGAAATGAGAAATTTCCGCAGCATTTCTGAAAGACAGAAGCTCTTTTTACCCTGCTGCAATAATTTTCGTCCCATGAGGATAGTATATATCCGGCGTCCGTATTGAATTAGATTTCTAAAATCTGATAACATACTAATAAGCCGTTATAACACTAACAATGTTTAGTAACATTAATAAATATGTGTGTGTTTGTTTCTCTTCTTTTGCTTTATCAGCTGTAGAAATATCCAGTAGTTTATTATACAACAGCTTTTCTCGATGGAGTGGCCTAAGTTTTATCCATCTCGCATACCACTTTTCGCTGTCATTCATGCTTCAGTTTTGTGCGTAATAATGTGAGTACAAATTGATTTTTAGTTCGATTTCTTGGTTCTTTTTTCCCTTGTGTATTCATAAATTGGTGTCGACTTCTTTACTTTTCGTAAACAGATACTCTTGGTTAATTTCTGTCAAATCAGTATGCTTTATTTTCCGTAACAGTATCCAAATGTAAGTCACCGACATCACAAAGGGAAAAAGAAGTAGCATGAATCAATTCAACGAATGGTTTCTGTATATGAGTAGTTTGAATGCCAAACTAAATTAAGTTGAATCATCTTTTATTCTACTGATAAATATTTGCATATCATAAGCTGAAATGCGATAAATCAAAGTAGAAATAATGAAATTAGTGCAAACAATAAATCAACACATAAGTGAACTTACTTTCTAACATATAAATATTCCATACCGATGAAGAATTTCCACAGGAATAGTTGGATAATGAGGAAAGGTAGTACATAGTGAAGATACATGTTGAAAGCATCATTGTGTAATGTGCAAGGTGATTTCATGTTATATGAACTGCTTACTGAGTGATTAAAGATGTCGACGTAAGTCGATGACATTTATTTCCAATCGAAAGGCATCACACCGCGAAATCACAAAACATTTTCAAATAACACGTTGAAGGTAATATACTTCTTACTATCTAAAGGTAATTATTAGGAGTATAAAGTGAGTATTTGCAAGATATTTATCTGTCCCTTTTGGTTTCAGGGTTTTCATCGTAATTTCTTATGATCAAATACCAGTTGTTCCATACGTCAGGTGAGTACAGATTATATTTATGTATTATATATATCCAAACCATTTTCACTTTTAATGGTTTGAAAAAATTAGGGCATTGGGTATATGATATTCATTATAATAAAGGCTTCTGTATTTTCCGATGAATAAAAAACAAAACATCAGTAAAAACAATATCGCTTGTTTTTCATTCATTAGGAAATGCAAAAACCTTTAGTTATAATGTATATATATTTATGTATGTAGATATACAGCTGAGATTGTAACTGTTCTGGTAACTCACATAACCCTCTTAACTGTGATTTTCCAGAAGGATTAACTTCAATCTAAATACCGTTTTCTATACTTTTACAGGTTCGTTGATGATACAGAGGTAGAATGGATGCAAACCACGCATGTGGTTCACAACTAAACCAATGCATTTCATTCTAAGGCTGGAAAAGAATAAGTATTTTCTAGTGTATGTGATACACTGATTGTACATATAGAAATAAGATATTATCCTTTAGGATCGGTCAGATGGAAGTGATCCGAAATGTCTTTGCGTCTTATATCCACCAATAAACCATACTGGTTAGCTTTAGAAGAATGCCATTGCCTCTGAAATTTCGACTCTCATCATTGTGTGTCAGTGATGATGAATGGACTACTGGCTCACAATCTGAAGTATTCATCTTGTTTCTCTGCACTCACATTTGATTTGGTCACTTTGAACCTAGGCATTTCTGTTGAGTTGTTTAAAAACGTCTTTATGGAAGTTACAAATAGCCAATTCAGATTTTTCAAAAACTTTCATATAGTATACGCACTTTATTTATAAACTGTATCTGCGTTGTCTATTACCGGTACTCAAAATAATTAGTGAAATGGTTTAAGTAGACTTCTTTGAGTCGAATACGATAGATTGGGATGAGGTGGATTGACCTGATAAGATAGATAAGGTATATAGTTGCCATATCACCTCTCGACTGATGTTGTTGAAGGCTTTTCTAAGGTCAATAAAGTCGAAATAGGGGGCTGACTGCTATTCCAAGTTCTCATGAATGTTGATACTTACTGCTGCGATTTGATCGATGCGTGAATTGTTTCTCCTGAATCCAGCCGGTTAAGGTCAAGGCTTTTCATACATTGCGTGTTTGATTCTCTCCAGGATTATGTGACTTAGTATTTTACTTGCGATGGACGTGAGCATAATGCTGCGACAGGTCTTGCAGTGAACTAAGTCCCCTGTGGCAGTTTGAATAGGTAGCCTTTCTCTCAATCCACAGGCACTTTACACTATTTCCATACCTTCTTCGGAAGTGCTGTCATCAAATCCGCTGATTTCTCTGAGTCAACTTTTAATGCCTCTGCTGGCGTCGGTGATTCAGTGGTAGAACACCACTGCAACAGAAACTTCAAGCCTCTAGCCTGAAGTTATTTGTTTTACTGGGAACGTGAGGGAATAGAGAAATAGTGATGATCAGTGAATTTACTTAGGTTGATCATAGATTTTGCTTGGATTTCTAAATTGGCATTCCTACTAGAAAACTATCCATCATTCATTCAAAAATGAAACTAAGGTGGTTCACGGATTTTGAAATGAAATTGCTTTAGAATTCAAACAGTCAACCTTCAAAATATCTACGTTATAGGTTTTCGGACCTTAAGTATTACAAATTTCCTGGAATATGTGGAGTGACGAGTCAGACTGAATCATTATAAGTTACCTAGAAAAATCTCTGAAAAAATCAAAACATGATTTCGTATTAAACACGCTGGGATTATTATAAACAATGTATAATGCTTCAGGATAACTACTTGACACTGCTACTAGATTCATATTGCTAAAACGATAGTTTTGCTGCTTGTCAGATAACAAATGAATACCACCAATTCTAAACACCTCTTCTCTAACTAAACAAATGTATTTCATTCTAAGGCGGGAACAGAATAGGTATTTTCTTGTGTATGTGATACACTGATTGTACAAAAGGAAATGAGATATTATCCTTTAGGACCGGTCAGATGGAAGTGATCCGAAATGTCTTTGCGTCTTATATCCACCAATAAACCATACTGGTTAGCTTTAGAAGAATGCCATTGCCTCTGAAATTTCGACTCTCATCATTGTGTGTCAGTGATGATGAATGGACTACTGGCTCACAATCTGAAGTATTCATCTTGTTTCTCTGCACTCACATTTGATTTGGTCACTTTGAATTTGAGCATTTCTGTTGAGTTGTTTAAAAACGTCTTTATGGAAGTTACAAATAGCCAATTGAGTTTTCTCCTTGTATGCAACATGCATATATGCATATGCATAATAACATACATCGGGTTCAGAGTACCTCAGAATGAGAAATGTTTCACAAGTAATAACATGTTTTCACTATATACTTCATTTCTTTAAACTGAAAGGTCCATTTATTTTCATTCAGCTCTCTTGGTGTGAATCCACCGGAAAAATATTTCTTTATATATTCATCGGGAGTATTTGCAGTACTAAGTAAGCATACAAAACTTTCATATAGTATACGCACTTTATTTATAAACTGTATCTGCGTTGTCTATTACCGGTACTCAAAATAATTAGTGAAATGGTTTAAGTAGACTTCTTTGAGTCGAATACGATAGATTGGGATGAGGTGGATTGACTTGGTACAAAAAAATAGATAGATAGATGGATAGTTGCCGAAATACCTCTCGTTCGACGATGTTCAATGTCATGTCAAAGTCGATGAAGTTGACTGAGGTGTATAGTTGACAGCTGTTGCAAGCAATGTTTATTTCTGATCCCTATGCGTCAATTTGATCGATGCATGAATTGTTTCCCCTGAATCCAGCCTGTAAAGGTCAAGGCTTTTCATGCCGCATGTGTTCGATTCTCTCCAGTATTATGCGGCTTAGTATTTTGCTTGGGATGGACTTGATCATAACGCCATGCCTGATCTTGTAGTGACGTAAGTCTTCTTTCTTTGTCAGTTTTAATAGGTAGCCTTTCTTTCAATCCGCAGGTACCTCGCCCTCTTTCCACACCTTCTTCGGTAGTGGTGTCAAGTCCACTGATTTCTCTGCATCAATTTTTAATGCTTCTGCTGAGATTTGATCTGGTCCTGCTGCTTTTCCAGTTTTTAGCACCTTGATTGCCTCCAGAATTTCTGTTCTTCTCGGAGGATTTATGCCCACTGCTGATTGCCCTTCCGCCGTTCGTATTACTGAATGCTTTGTAGAGGGTGGTCGATTTAGAAGTCTTTTGAAGTGTTCAGCTCAGTTTTACTTTTGCTATCATTCTGTCTAAAATCCTTTTGACTCTGGTCTCTTCGCTATTGTTGATTTGTGCGTCCGTATTTTTCCTTATGATTACAGTGAAGATATCCTTTGTATCCTGATCCTTCAGGTTTTGAGAGTTGAACATTGCTTGTGGTCTATCTGTGGCTCCTGTTTCTTTGAAAGCTTTTAACTCGATTTTGTTCCTTGCAGGAGATAGTGTTCTGAGACAACATCTGCTCCTCTTCCTACTTTTATGCCCAGTAAGCTGCGTCTCCACTTCCTTGAGCAACATTGACATGAAGTCAATTTGGTTTTTGGTTTGCCAATCTGATGACACTCATGTAGCCTTGTGGATATCCTTGTGTCTGTATAAACTACCACCAATCACTAGTTCATTGAAGGCGAAGAAGTCAGCGAGGAATCCTCCATTTTCATTCATTCCTCCGAGAGCTTCTCCACCCATGATGAATTCTCTCCCTGTGTTGTGTGGCCCCAGCTTGGCGTTCATGTCTCCCATTAGTATTTTAATGTCACGGACTGGAGTATTGTCCACTGTTGCCTGTAGTTGTCTGTAAAACTCTTCTTTCTGTTCGAGATCTTAGTTGTATAGCTGTCACATTCCTTCCTCTGGAGTCGAACCTGGCGGTCATTCTCCTGGGCAAAATCGCCTCCCATTGCATCGGGGTCTTCGTTGCTGTCAGTAACGTCACGATAGCCACTCCCTCAGTGTGTTCGTGGTTGTCATCTGGGTGACCGGGTGAAATCATCGAATCTATCGTTGCTAGCCTCACACCTGAGAAGAGGTTCGTTACATGAATTTATAGGCTACAGGGGAGCGACATTTTGTGTTGCTCCCCTTAGCATTAGGAAAACAAGGAATAGAGCAATCGGAACACACCCAGCAAAATAAAAATAAAAAAATTCAACAGGAAGGGCAGTGACAAAACCAATAAAAATAAACTCTAACAGTAGTATCACTGTCAAAAAGCAATTGAAAAAAATGATATAAAAACCATAGACTCATTGACTTGGTTCTCACTGGGTAGGTAAGTACAACAATATATACAATGATGGATATTAGTTAGTGTTAAACAGTCACAAAATGCCAAACAGTTAGTTTTTTTGGATTTCAGCTTGATTCCACACTGTATTTTTGATACAAGCATGGAATTTTCAGCATGGATATCGGTAGCCCATATTTTGCAGGCCAACCATAGATATCAGGTGTGCGTCGGCAGGGGATCAAACCTCGGACCATGTGCATGGTCGGCGAGAGTCCTAACCACTGTGCCACCGACGCACATAGTTATAGGTATTATCAGTCAACAAGATTATAGCCACAGATTCAGTGTTCGAAAGTTAAATAGTTACAATCAATTCCACAACTTCCTGTCAAGAAACTCCAGAGAAATAAGAGTTTATGTGTGTCGGTGGTACAGTGGTTAGGACTCTCGCCGACCATGCACATGGTCCAAGGTTCGGTCGCCCGCCGACGCACACCTAACATCTATGGTCGGCATGCAAAATTTGAGCTACCGATATCACATGCCGAAAATTCCATACATGTACCAAAAATACGGTGTTGAATCAAGCTGTAATAAAAAAAATAAACAAACGTAGCGTATTATTCGAAAAGCCTTTGCAGTTCAAGGAGCACTGCTCTAGGTTGGCGGTCTTTATCGATATTCACTCTTGTTCTCCGAGAAATTGAGATCAGATAATTACCATTCCATGACATATTCCACACATTTCATCCGGTATACTTATATTTACTAACTAACATCTTAAACCTTCAGTGTGACTACCATTACTTTCTAACTATTCATTGTGTCTGTCTCCACAACATCCACATATTGAGTTAAACCTTCGGAGACATCCGTCTAACCGAATAATCACCGAAAAATGATAATTTATCTTTCATAGGTTCTTAATGTTTAAATGATGGTAATTAATTGCTCATACAAATAGAATACATTTTCACTTTAGATATTATAAGTCAATGGTTTTGGTACTTAATGATGAGAAGAAGACTTGTGGAGAGAAATGCTTGGTCAATGGTCAGTGGACTCCTATGCATCATCATTCTAATAGCTTTTGCAATATCAAGCATATCAATCATAGGATTGGCTATTATTGATGTAAGTGGAGCTCACTATATGCACAATGAAAAATAGTAAAATAATAATAATAATAATCACTTTATTCCACAACATTACATTTTGATAACTCCATATTGGTTTGTTTACTAGATGTATCACACAGTGAAACAGTATTATTAACTGTTTAGCTGTGTGAGACATCTAATAGAGAAACTAATAGGGAATTACTTACTACCACTGTGCCGAAGTTTAATATTTTGATAATGTTCACATGTGGATAAAAGATGTGTTCTGATGGGATCAGTAATTTGTAAGTGATGTGAACAAGTGTGCTCATGTGTCCATGATCATGGAAACAAACAAAACGAAAGCATTTGGATGAGTACTTGATGTGTTTTCTTTCGATGAAAGCAAGAATAAGAATGGGGACATGGAACTGAATAGATGTGGACTATCCACATTGTCAACTTGAGAGTGAGAAATCTATCACGGTCTGGTAACCCACACGACAACCACGAGCGCACTGACGCAATGAGAGGCTATAATAATATCACCATCACCAATACCATCAGCAGAAATAACATCAACGAATGCTATTATGAGGCGGGAACCAGTCACCTCACGCGGGATCATGACAACAAGATGGAACTGGGAAGGAAACATATGGGGTGACAATTATCCAATACTACGCACAGTGCTAAAAACATCTCAGAAGGAAGATTTCTAAAGACAAATGCAAACAGTAGTGGACAAAACCCCGAATGGTGACATCAAAATCCTGACGGGCGATTCGAATGGAGGACGAACATGGAGCAGATCATACATACTGAAAGAAAACTCATCAATGGTCGATAGGTTGTCTATAGGCGAAATGATTGAAAATGGAGAACTCTTCACAGACTTCTGCGCTCTCATTGCTTTGGCGATTTCAGGTAGCGTGTTTTATTGCAAGGATATACACAAGGTGAATGACATGGATTTCGCCTGATGGACACATCATATCATTCATATCAATCTGAAGAAAGTGAAGAGTCAGCATGCCAAACACAAAGTCCAAATGGAGTGCAGATGTAGGCTCACAACATCATCCATGTCAGGGAACCTTCAGAGTCAGACTAGAAGCGCTAACAAAGACTCAACACGGACAGCAACTCAAGTTCAATACTGAGAAACTGAAGGACAAACCTACAAATGATACTGTCATCGCAGCCATCAGAGGGGAGTCGGGGACATTATGTGACATCACCGAGGAAGTGTGTATAGAAGAAGACTGGAACTTTCTGAATGTGATGTTCAGGGAAACATATACAACTGTTCTAGGAAGAAAGAAGAAGAGGCAAGGTAATGAGTGGCTCGCGATGAGTACTTGGAAGCGAACGAGGGGAATGAGTGTTAGTGAAAGAGAAGATGACTCAACTCAAAAATGGACAGCATAACGAGAAGCTGATTTCGGCGTACACTGCACTGAATAAAGAAGTTGTAACAACAGAAGACAAAGGCCAGGCAACACATCGTTTATTAGGGAAATCAGCACGTATTTATACATATATATATATATATGTATATATTTCATGAACATTATAATAGCTTATTCAAGCAAAGAAACACAGTCTTCTGATTGGTTGTTTCTTGCTCGAAATTTATTCGGTACTGCTTGTCACTGATTTCTCAGAAATTTAAGCCGTATATCTGCGAATCGTCTTTGCCCACGTTAAGTCTGCTGTGATTGGTTGTTGAATCAGTCTTGTTCATATTTTCTCACGGCCAATATCAGCAACATAAACATTGACGAAAATTAATGTCTACCAATTGGCTAGCAGACTGCTGTCACCACAAAGTGAAGAAAAGTGCTTTGATATACAAAAGTCAATTGTATGGCACACCAATGACTGACTGAGAATAATCTGCTGGTGTAGGAGACCTCAGAATGTTTTATCAGTTAACCAGGTCGATTGCTATCCGGGAAGAAATCAACTCAGATAACGAAAGCAGTAGATGTTCAAGAAGACCTGATTACTAAGCAGGCGGATTAGATAAAAGAAAGACTTGGTCACTTCAAAGGACTCTTGAATCGACCATCACCTGTAACTCGCCCAGAAATACCACGATGACCACACACAGAACTGCCTGCCAGTGAACACTAATCCTCCAGCGAAAGGAGAAATCCTGAATGTGGTCAAGCTCTAACAACAGAAGACAATGGCCAGGCAACAGATCGTTTTATTATGAAAATCAACACGTATTTATATATATTTCACATACATTGTTATAGCTTATGCAAGTAGAAAAACGCAGTCATCTGATTGGTTGCTTATCATAAGTTAGGCAGACAAACGCAGGCTTCTGATTGTTTGTTTCGTGATTCCTCGACAAATAGAGTTCTCTATCTGCGAATCATATTTTGCCACGTTTGCTTTGCTGTGATTGGTTGTTGAACCAGCCTTGTACATATTTTCTCACGGCCTGCTCTCACCACAAAGCTACTGAAGTCCAAAAAGGCAACAGGATCAGATGGAATTCCCGTTGAAACACTGAAATGGACGCAGAGACTTCGATAGTTGTGCTCACGCTACTATAATAAAAGTGTTAGAAAGAAGGAAAGGTACGGATTGTAGGATAGGCTAATTTTCAAGCTACCAAAGAAATGCAACTTACAACTTTGCAAGAAACGGCACGGAAGCATGCTACTGTCCACTCCAAGTTGAATGCTCGGTCGCGCCATCCTGGAGAGAACAAGAGATGGACAGAATGCAGAACTCTGCCAACCCGAAAAATTGGACCCAGGAAAAGCAATCCATGTGCTGATCAAATTGCAATTTTACACATCGTCATCGAACACGAGATAGAAAAGTAGTCGACTCTCTGTCTCGACTACCCCATCTCCATCGACTTTGAAAAAGATTTCAACAGGATTGACATCGAGGCGATTCGGTAACTAATTGAACACTATGGGGTGCAGTGACCAAATCTCTATCAACCTCATTCGACAGCTGGCTACATGACAACAACACGAACCGGATGATCCACAACGCAAAACTCAGTAAAGTCGTTGGAGTGAATACAGTAGTTAGATAAGGCTGCTCGCTGCTATCATTGGGGATATTCCTAATTGTGGTGAGCTGGATGAGGTGTCAGACTTTGCGTGAGGAACGATAAGACAGGAATACGCTAGACCTGAGTGAAGAAAGCAAAGACGATCTGGATTTCAGGCGTAGGTGATACGCTGTCATCAACCTGAAACCAGTTTGGAAATCCTCTGCACTACGCCTCAGCATGAACAACAAGACTTCGATTTTCAACACCAAAGTGAAGTCAGTCAGTTCTTCTACACAGGTGAGAAACTTGACCAGCGTGTCACGAAGAGGATTTCCAACAGGCCATTGAAGGCTTGTATGAGCACGTGCCTTCGCTGGCTGGACACTGAACAAGAAATTGCTAGAAGACGGAGTAACAAGTAACCCTGGCGACAAAAACCGAGCTAATCAAGAGCCTATCGTTCAACAAATATGGCAGGGGAACTGGAGATGGATAATGCATACATTGAGAGGACCGTTGAATGACATGGTGCACTGGGCACAAGAGTGGAATTCCAATAGTACAGGACTGGTTTGTCATCGGAGTGTATTATGTGAGAGGATGTGAGAAGGGGTGATGAGAGATATGTTGCTTAGTCACTATGTTCCACTCCGAATCAAATTTAATAAAATATTGATGAATTCTGAATTGTGGTTCCCTCTAATTATGTATCACCGAATTTCCAGAAGTCAACTTGTTTGGAAGTTGTGTCCGGATCTTTGAACTTCAAGTGTGAAACTGCAGAGTAGCCTCAGAGGGGTTTTATCATAAGCAGATGAATTATTACTGTTGCACTTTGAAATTTCCTATTGCTAAAAATATGTGTGCATTCGTTACACTAACTTATGCACTCCTACTTTCAGTTCATTTGTTACCACATATGGATACAACTGATATTTCCTGAGAATCACTCTCCCATAGGGTGAAGATTCCAACAACAGGAGAAGCTTGAACATTCAGTTAAGCAGCTTTCACAGCGCCAAAAATGAAAGCCACAGTGCTCATTTTGTTCTGAATGCTATATATTGATGGTCAACTGTAATTTCTTTTAGATGTTTTTTCAAATATATGTTTTAATGAACGAAATACTCCCATGTTGAATCGTAAGAAAAAAGCCTGAACAGCCAAGAATATTTTCTTTTCTACGATTCATTTTCATGGGCTGTATAATCGTAATTATATTGAACATAGAAATCTTTAGGCCAATCAGATACTGGTAAACGGTGTCCTCGAAAAATGTATCACATAATGTAAGATGTAAGAAGGGATGGCTAATTGTAGCTTAGAAAAGAGACCTTTCCACTGGATCCTGTCCATTCTACACGAGCCTAATGATTATTCATTGTCTCACACTTGTTACGTCATGCCAACTCCTGCCTCTATTCTTACTTACAATTAGTCATTCCTTCCCACAGCTTACATTTCATGATGGAGTTCATCATGAGCTGACATCAGTTAGAGAACTACTGGACGGCTGTTTCCTTGTAGTTTGGGACTCCTCGTCAGTACGCAATCATCGGGTCCGAGTACGGTTGTGGTTCTCTAACTGATGTCAGCTCATGATGAATTCCTCTATCCAATCCAACAAATCTCTACAAAACCAGAACGTTACATTGTGTAATACATTTTTCAAGGACACAGTTTAGTAGTATCTGATTAGTCTGAGGATTAATTGGTTTAATATATTTACGGTTGTACAGCTCATAAAAATGTTTCATCGAAAAGAAAATTTTCTTTGTTGTTTACGTTTTTTCTTATGAGGCTATGTATGATTCACTTGACACCACTAGAGAGCTGGTGACACTTAAATGAAAATAGTTTTCATGTAACGCAAATTTACTCGATTGACAATGATCCCATCGTTCTGTAACTTTCACATAATTTTTGGAATGCACCACATGCATCAATAATATTTGTGAAGTTTAGGGTTCTCTCTAGGGTGATCACTCCTATCAAAATGATTTCAGAATCATTTAGGCTTCCTGTAATACAAATATATATGCATTAACATTTTTTCCATTGTCATGCAGTGTATGATACGCAAAATATTGTAGCTTAGTTTTTCAATGATGCAATAATACTATAACACCATTTGTTTTACAGGCGAAAACTGACAATCGTACACATTATCACTTAGCTTTAATGAATTTCTGTTCTCATCTGATTTCGATTCCACTGGGTGCTCTGCTTATTTTATATTCTTTCCGTCCATGGAAATGGTTTTTCTTGGCTAGATTAATTGTTTGGATTCAGATGATTCTTGGTGCATTTTTTTGTGAGTCACACTCGAAGAGAGTATTTTTATTTTAGTATTTATATAAATGAATTTCACCAGTCATCAGATGATGTTTTCTGCAGAGCAAAATTGTAGTAATGCAGACAAGCTATGCATATTAACAGGAACTCATGGACATTCTCATTTCAGGAGGATATTGCAATTCTGCTAACTGAGAATCATAATTAGTACACTTTTGGTGATCCCACTACTATACAAAATCTATTGCTCCTCAAATGTTCAGTGATAATTCCAAAGTGTTTTGGTGCTAGTCCGCAGATTGAACTGTTAAGAGTCAGTGTTATTTTCTGAGGAGCATATTAGTTCTGAAATGATTAATGTTAGTGATTCGGTGTTAAGTTGACCTCTGGCAACTCTCTTAATGTAGAGTTGAGCACGAAAACAAGTAGCCGGAAATCTTGAGTTGTAAATTCAATTTCACACCATTGCTTTGATGATACCATTTGTAATAGTGCAGGTCAAATCCCAATTATTCACGTGTAGGATTCTTATTTTATCATTTCACTTTGTGAGTATTTCAAATAGGTAAATGTTTCTTTGATGTAGTATTTTATTGTGTCCTTGACTAACTGAATTTCAACATTGTCTAACTTTTCCATATTACAGTCGTATATTTCAATCAGATTGGACTCTTAATTATGGAAGCGGAAGACGGCTTCCTTGTAAAACAACATCAACTGGTAAGTCAAGTAATATGTACGGTTTGATTTAGTGTTCTGAGAGGATGAGATTACGAATGATCTAGAGACAACTAATCAACTGGAAAGCCATAGCTGACCCCCTACTTACTCTACTACTACAGAAGATCTGGGAGTAAAGAAAGGTACCTGATAATTGAAAGAAACGTGGCCGTGTCCATCTGTCAGAGAAAGGCAACCTATGTAAACGTAAAGACTGACGTGGCTATTGTACACCCAAACAAACAATTAAGCCAGCTTATTGTGGAGATTAAAACGATTCACCAGATGGAGGATTCTGTCAGATACAAACTGGATTAAGTGAAAACAAATGATATAATTCTGAATGGCTCTACCGTTTGCGAGTATCAGACAGAGTCTGGAAATGTGGTCAACTATTTCCTTCAAAATCAAACATTTTCAAAGACTTTCTACAAAGGCAATCATGAAGTAATTTGTTAACTGCTCCAGTGCGACGAAGTGCGTTATATATGTATATATTTTTTCGTGTTGTCGTTTTACTTGCTTCTAAAGCATGTTTTTTTGTATTGATGTAAAAGGGATATGAAGAATTTAAATGGAGCGCAGTGGGCGAATGGTTTGTAGTACTGGGATGTATAGAAACCACATTGATCAACAGTTTAGAACTACGGAAATATGAAAATAAAAGATTGCATATAGATTGAGAAGGTCTACAAGGTCGTGGGAGTTTAATTAACTGCAAACATTTCTTTCAATGCACATGAGGATATAGACATATTTTAGGATAATTCATATCCTTTGTTCTGCCCAAGTCCTATGATTCTCAAGGATTTTGTTTTCTTACAAATATGAATAGAAACATTATTATTATTAGTTTTTGCACCACTTTCTTTACATTCACAACTTACATATTATATGGAAAGATGACAGTATTAAAAGAAAACAGATCTCATGTTTGCAATATATTTTCATTTTTTATGAAATGAACAGTCAAAGTGAATTAAAAATACTTCATACTGCGATCACCCAATCAGCTTACATAATGGTAGATTTCCAGAGGCTTGAATATTACCATAAACTATTTAGGAAAATAGTCATCAGAGCAAATAACTGTTATCTGTAATTTTATCAAGCTCTGCTGTCATAAATCCCTCGCTGATAACATACAGTAATCATTGAAAGTGAATTAAAATTATTTGGGAAGCTGTAGTGTGGTTAACGCACAAGATGTAATGACAGTCCGTCAATTTTGATTATATTTTAAAGATATATAAAATATGTAGTCAGTGTGAAGGTGAGATGAATGAGTTCAGCTGGCTGAGTGAAGTGTTTATGTGTTCATATTCAACGAAAGAATGGGTTTTAGAGAGTGCATTTTACTCAGTGGTGTGAGAGGCAGCACGAACACTACAAAGAAAAAGAAACAGTTGAATGGGATAAGCTGAATGCGAATTTGAGAAATGATAAGAAGTGACGATAGTGAAAGTAAAATTAGAAAATTAAGGCGATATGAACAGAGAGAGTTTTCATACTAGTGAAAGGTAATCAAATAATGAAGGTATACTACTAGCCCTGGTGTGATAATACTATTTTGTGAAGCAGATTATTGCTTCAGTGTCGAATAAAAAACGAAATCATGAACGTTTATGCAGATTATTCCACAATCAACGTACGGACCGTAGTTCTTCCCCTGTGTACTAAATTAAAAATGTGAAGTCTACTGTGGCTGGAAGGAAAGCTAAGGTTTGTTCTTACTGATTCTCAAACGCTACAGTTTCGAATAAAAACGAAATCACCTAAAGTTTATGCTGAATATTCTACACTCAACGTATGAACGTTGGTGCTTCCCCTGTCAACTAAATCAAAAATGCGATGGCACTGTTTATTGACCTGGTTACCCGAATAAAGCAATTTCCGGGAGTCCTGTTGACAATCACAATCGAATTATGATAAATTTGAACGATATTCACTTGATATCTAGTGAAAATTTGAGTGAATGGTTTCTGTAGTGATTCGGTTTGTATCTACTGTTATCAGCATATATAAATATATATGCATTTATACAGAAGTAGTTAGATTTCTCAATATCCATTATTTTCTGGATGACGATTATTATTACCTATTGGTAATATAATACATTTACTAGTAATACATACTAGTCTCACCACACACAAACAATACAGATTACCTCAGAAATATCTAACAGACGACCAATATAAGATTGAGATCAAGTAAATGTTAAGATCACGATCAACATTACCTGCTCAAATCAGCTAAGGATAAATTTCCTGTTATTAAATATTAAATAAATATCAGACATTTATTGATAAACTAGACGTGCTTATGTTTTAGCTAGCAAGTGAACAATGAATTGCATATTCTTCTTTCACATCCCATGAGCATAGAAATTAGAGAAGTGAGAATAACTTTGTCATCCAAACTATTTCAAAAGAGGCTATTTTTCAAGATATCTACTCGAAATACAGCACAACAGAATTTTTCACCTAAACTAAAACAGTTAATTGATATTTAGTTGAAGGTAAATGGTGATATTTTCAAGACATGATAAACTACATTCTTTGAAAAGAGAAGTAAGTGGTTGGGAAGATTATCGAACTCTTCGTGCATGACAAAGAGACATCAACAACAACTCGGTTGTGATGAAGTATCTATGTTTAGATCCATCGAAAATTCAAAAGCCACCTTTGGATAAACTCCTTGTGGCGTTATTGTTTCTTGAATACCCATCTTAGACATGTCAAATTCTCCTTACCATAAAATTGCCAAATGGATTACAGACGTCCTTACGCCTGTAAGAGACTCATTATCAAATCATTCTGTAAAAAGTTCATTTGATCTTACAGAAATGCTGGACACCTTGAACATTAAGGGAAAGATTATGTGTTCAGTTGACATAGAATCTTTTTTCACCAATGTTCCCCTTCATGAAACTGTTGGTTTTATTTGCGATTACATCACAAGCAACGGCATAAACTTACCCATTCCCGTCACTTACATCAAAGACATCATCTTAATGTGTACAGAAAATATTAGATTCACATTCCAAGAAAAGGCATATAAACAAATCGATGGTGTTGCGATGGGGAGCCCTCTTGAGCCCCTGTTAGCAGATATATTTATGTCGAAATTAGAGAAACAAATGCAAGGTATGCTTGGAGGATTTATGCTGTATAAACGTTATGTAGATGATAATCTTATTATTAGTAATAATAGTAAATCTATTGAAAACTTCATTACCCTATTTAGTCATATTCATCCAAATATTTGAGTGACTTTCGAACTAGAATCGAATAACAAACTAGGTTTCCTGGATATTACAATGACTAGGAGAGATGATGGAAAGATTCAGAGATCTATTTTTCGTAAACAGACGTGGACTGGACAATATCTTCATTTTACCAGTTTTGTTCCTATCCAGTATAAACGTCCCCTAGTGAAATGTTTGTTCTCAAGAGCCCGAAAAATATGCACGAGTGACACACTGATGGATGAGCTTCGACATGTACATTCAGTTTTATTAGCTAATGGTTATCCGGAGAGCTTCATCACTTGTCACAGTAAAAAACCACATCTCGAAAAGACAGCTTCTGTACCAAAGAAAGCCATCTTTATTAATCTACCATTCAAGGACGACCAGATTATGCAGTTGACAACTCAAAGACTTCGATCAGCTATCAAACGCACATTCTACGCCGCATCTCTTTTTCTCACTTGCCGAACATTTTCGATCCCTGTTCCTACGATTAAAAGACGAAATTCTGTGGACTCTACTTCAAGCTGTATCTACAAGTTCACCTGCAGCTGCGGTGACACCTGTATAGGTAGAATTAACAGAATGTTCCAATGTCGTCGAAAAAAACATTCCAAAATGGCTACTAAATCATATCGAAAATACTAACGCGATTAATCTTAATAGAAGTCCAGCATCATCCATTGCAAAACACTTATTAATGTCTGGTCACAAAATAAATATTAATGACTGTTTCACAATTATTTCACATAACTCTAATACAATCTTATTGAAGGTGATGGAAGCACTTTGGATTAAACACATACAGCCTAAACTGTGTGTACAAAAATCAATAGACTTCAATCTTCGCCTACCCTGGACTACATAACGTATCTAAATATGATTGGTCATTAGTATGTTCTTTTGTTTTTATTTAACTGAATATTCTTCATGAACTTTATTTTATCAATGTTAACCATGTTATTTGTAAGAGGGTTGTAAAGAAACTGCGAAATGATATCTTCTCGCGAAATTTGTCTTCTTAATGCCTTGTTCAATATTTCATTTCATACGAAAAGTATTCGGTGGTCAGAACGGATTGCTTTTACATGGAACCCATAATTTGAATCATTCTGAAATCACAAGGTATGTTGTAACATGACATGCTCTTAGATATATGGGAGATCATGGCATTTCATCAAGGTATGTAGACCTGAATCGCGAATTTTTCTTAACCCATTGTGGCGATTTAGTATACGTATCAGCCAGTCAGCATCTTTTGCGCTCTTAATGTATTTCACTATATTGGAAATTGTGTGCCTAACTGGGTGTTCACTTTGTTAATGAATGATATTTGCCTCACATACTTTGTACTTCGTTACACTTACGATTCACTACTCACGATTCTGCATTCGAATTCGACCTCACGATGCAAATTGTATCTCTGTGTAGTTTATTCGATTCCATTTATTGTCCAGTATGTACAAAACGAGATCTTTCATCATTTCGTGTTTGCTCAGTTCAAATTTAACAAAGAGAATGGGATGATTTCAGAGAGATGGGGATGCTGTTCGTTTCGAAGATCACCTATTCGATTGTCTGCATAAATTGTGCGAAATAATTAATATTGTCAGCACAGTTGTTCATTATTTTTCTTCTAAGCAGCAAAATACTTCAAACTGAAGTACTTCAAACTGTACAGTAACAGAAATGTTTCTTTACATAGCGCATTCATTAAATGTTGTTTCATGATCCTTGGATTTTAATGTTTGGCTAGTTTTCAGGAATTGGTCTTTACAGGGATTCTATTTGTTGAATAATTTGTTTAGAATGATGTTCAGGTGAATATGTGTAATCTGATTACAACGTTTATTTTCACAGTAACTGTCTTACTTCTGTCATGCGTCGTTTCCGAATGACTAATGTAAACATATGACCAATTCACACACAGTTTCTCAGATACTCATGAAACATTTGAAAACTCCCGCTTCGTTGATTCGCAGTGGTGTTAAACAAGACTGACAGAATATTTGTATCTTGTAAGAGTCCAAATACAAAATAATCAAGACTTTCCTCTTCTCAAAATGTTTTGATGCTGAGGGAAATGAATATGTGAGAATATCACAAATTGATGTGTATCTGATAGCACTTCGTTTGTTTTAATTCCCTCAGCATACTGATTTCTTTACCAAACAGTTTTTTCTTTTACAGAATTTTCAACATAATCCTGTAACGAGATCTTTGTTGTAAATGATACTTTGTCAGGGGAAGATCAATTCATTTCGGTTCTCTCTAATTGCACTTTACATTGCACTCACCGGACTTCCTATTTTGTGAGTGAGTTCTGTTTTCTGAAAAAGAAGAACAGCGGCAGTAGTAAAAGAAGCATCCATGAAGCTGTAGAAACCTCATAATTTGCACATGACACGGGCATCTCCAATTATTATATTCATTAAGCCCTCTCGTCTCAAGCTCAATGTATTTCTGGTTTGCAAAATGTCTCTAACTGGCATCAATCCGAGTTCACAATTGAAAGGAATCATTCTATCGATATACGACTCCGTAAATATGTGGAACTTTTCAACTTTCAGGATTCATACAATTAACCAGAGAGTTAATTGTTTGCCAATATGAATACTATTCATCAGACTTAGTCACCACACTGAAAATTCAGGATACAATCACTCTCACTAGAATGGCTGGTTTCCTCACTGGAACATTGTCAAACCCATCACTAAGCATCTACAGGTAGCGGTTGTATTTCGCTATCTGCCATTGTTCAGTGAAGAACAAGACGTTAACCCTCCGATCGAAAGTGCTCTGAAGGAACAGGCTGGCTTTGGGATTTGCAGAGTCACCAAAACTACAAATACTTGGAATCAATAAGCAATTCGTAAATCTTCCATAAGGCTGAATATTTCTGTTCCTTTGGATAAAACTTCATCACTAATACACACCATAAACACTGATCTAGTTGTAGCCATATAACACAAGGAAGTTTCTCAGTTAAGTTTCCTTCACATTTTCACAGCAGGAACGTGGATTCAAGAGTAATGCATCTTATCTAATGGTTTTAAAAGATAACAATAGCGAAAGCATATCATTCTTTGTATCTTCACAGATATTCAGTGGCCGTATATAAGAACATATCAATGCTTTCTTTCCATTCATCAGGTGAGTATTCCAGCCACAGTTATACAATATAATCACACATTATTTTATGACATAATGTACTGACAGATTCTATTCTCCTAGGGAATGATTGAAGAAGAAATATGTGGGATTCAGACTAGGGTCTATCTGAATACGAGCTGAGTACTTTTAGGAATGGGTTGCAATATCACCTCATTGGAACTATTAAAGCTTTTGATCAGTGCGATTAGCAATTCAGTTATCATCCATTCTATCAGTATGCATGAAATATCTCAGATGGGCTCACCAACATAAGGTGGAATCCGTTGATTTGCAAATAACACGCAGCATTGTAGATTGTTGGTGCAATTCAATTTGTAAGAGCGATAGAATTGGGTCGGGATATTCTCTCATGAACAGCTTGATGTACAGATCACTTCAGCCATGGACGGCTGCTCATTGTAGGCATACACCTCACCACGCTTTGTTGACTTCAACAGAAACAGATTGTGAGATATACATTGTCAACTTCATTTATTCACTTGATGCATTACACACACGAATTATAGGAAGCAGTTTCAAGATCGTGAATAAAACTACTTCCACCTCAATAGGCTATTTACTCAATGTACATAGCCACTTAGTTGAATAAAGAAAGTGAGCTCACACGAACATCATAACTGCAGTCACCACTTGACCGGTAAAATAAAGTCAACAACAATGCGTGAAGAGTATTACGTTTCGCCTGCAAATATTTCAGTTTCGTTCAGTTTAGACGTAGTTTGATGAAGAATGATCTGAAAATATCTGCGTTGACAGAACGCATCTACGTATCACCTCGACGTTCCTCTTAACTAAGGTGAATTGCATTTGATAGAGATACTGAACTTTCCGTCAATTATTGCATAACATAGAGTGAGTCATTTTCAAGAATCTGGTTTTCAGTAGAATTCAAGATGAGAGCCTCAGGATCATTAACCGGCTACCACATCACCTGAGTTACAGGGACTGACACGAGTTTCAGAAAGTCGAACTTAACCGTATGCGAATATGATATTTCAGTAGTGTGAAAAATGAGAAATCTGTGGATTCACGTTCCATCTTGTCTTCCTTTACGTCTAATCGTATCAGAATAAACTTGTCTTCGATGTGACTGATAACATCCCCTCGTGTTGGTGATATCTACATGACGGAACGTACATTATGGGAGAATTCAGATTTGAACGGAACAGATTAGTGATGATTGGAGTCAATTACGTCATGTGGATTCGTCATCGGCCGAAAATATTTGTTTGCATTAAAACATTCCTATGATAACACAGTTATGTCCATATATATATATATATATATGCAAATATATTCATTTATATACAGTGATTACTGTCTCACATATTGTGTCGTACATTTTTAGATACTGTGGGCAATTGGTTCTGGTTTCACGTCGTTAAAACTAAAATATCGAATAAGTCTAAATCGTCGATACCCCACTTCCTCAACTCATTCATGCGACTTCTAATGACTTTATCTGGGTTGTGTTTAACCGGTCTGTTTATCTTCGATGTGAGTTTCGCTTTACTGTTACATTTGAATAAACTGAATGCCAGTCACTTCAAGAAGTGAATGTAACCCATGCAGGATTTCGAAATGATTTTGTGAAATTGAATAAAATTCCGTATCCATGTTGCATATTAAACCTGTGGAAAGAATATTCCCACTTCGCTGGTCAGAATGCAGATGACTTGGAAAAATTCGGCTGTTTTTGGTTGCGTTGTTTTGTGTATAGCAGAGGTGTGCATGGTACTTAGCTGTTTTCGATTTCGGCAGGAAGCAGTATCGGCTGGATTCGGTCATCTCTGATAACTCTAGACACCATATGTTAGTTCCTGAATGTGACTGTTCAAGTGATGGTGAACTGGTGTATTGATATTTTGTGTCATGAGAGGCTACAAACAATTTTCATCAGACTCTCGTACTCTGAAGTGTTTTAATTCTGGTCATGTATTCGTGCAATACCCCACACAGATTAGAAAGCGACGTCACAATCTCATGAGTGAACCACGATTTTCTGAGTTCGCTTCATAAGTGTGAATATGACTAGACTTGTTTGAAGTCGTATTCTGATTATCTTCATTCCCTGTGCATAGCGAATTCATGTGATAATCTCTGCATATAGATAGTCATTGTCTCCATAAACATGCCGTAATAATTATCTCACATGTTGTTAAATGTGTACTTCAGTGAGTGGCGGAAGCCATAGATGGAAAAATTTCAAAGTTGTTCTCCGTGATCTGTAATTAACAGCATCTCACTAACACAAACTGGCTTGGAGAAAAGATCACTGCTTATCACCAGAAAAAAGAGAAATAAATCAGTGTCTCAGAGTGAATTCGATCATACTGTTACGTAGATTTAGTAATCACAATACAATCTGAACACGATGAAATGAAACACAACGAATTGTAGTGACCATATATCCATGGAATTTTCAGCTTCCACAAGAATTACTAGTGAAGTAGGAATATCTCAACCGTATCCATACCTGCGTGTAAATAATCCCCAAAATCTGTGTTAAACCAATCACGCTGAATATTCATTTATTTCTAAAAGTGATCACTCCTGGTTACTGAATATCTACGTTGACTCTAAGGT